TAACCATATCCACCCGACTGTAAGTGTTCAACGCAGCGTTTTTACTCTCCATTCTCATTTCATTTCAATTGAACCCTATCTTTCCAAAACTTTGTTGTTTCTCTTTTCTTCAATCTTTACAATACAAACCCTAAATATAAACTTTCCGTTCCATTTTGCACAGAGATTCATTCTTCACACAGAGTGAACAGTAAATAGCTTCAAGAATCTTCACTACTTGACTGATCTGAACCCTAAAAACGAACCTTTCAATTTGCGCCGCCGTCTCTATTCGTTCCATTCTAGTCTTAATATGCTATTCGTCTAGTTCGTTCGACTGTTCTCCATTTTCCAATGTAAGTACAACTTTCGTTTCATTTACAGTATTCGCGTTTTTCGTTTTCGTTATGAACTTTACTAGAACATAAGATTACCCATTTTTCAGGTTTTTGTTTTGAACTTTAGTGAAGAACATAAGATTACCCATTTTTTGTGTTTTCTACTGTAGAGAAAATGTTGCTGATGAGTTCAGTTCAATTCTAACTCTGCAACTCAATTCCAAGGAATATACACAGCAAACTCAGGCAGCAGTAGCGACATTTGCGGTAATGGCGACCACTTCAACATTGTTTGGTATTGTCTTAAACTATGAGTTTGTTTGAGTTTTGTCTTTGTATTATCATAAATTTTGATTGTGTTTCGGCATAAGATGAATGTTGCAGCTTTGAATTGTTATTTCATCTTAACATCGGTGTGTATTACTTATTCTATCTTGTGTTGAATATTTGTTTCTTTTGCTGGGATTGTATTGACATAGCTTATTAAATAATATTGCAATTCCACCCTGTGTTTCCATGGATGTGTCACAAATACAGGATTGCTACTGTTGTGATGCAGAGCTTGAATGCATTGCATTTTATTTTCTAAATATGTTTCTACTTAATGATGTTATGGTTATGACTATTTTGACTACGTTTGTGACAAGCTTTGTTTCTGTTTCCTGCCGGATTGGTTATATGAGACATTGTAGCTACTGTGTTATCCAACTGAAGTTGTTGCCATTTTTTTTGTCAAATCTGTGGCAATTTTGGTGAACCACAGTTTTGTCGTTAATGCTTGTAGTCACCTTGTTTCGGTTCGATTTCATGGTGCTTGTTGTTGTTTGTGATTTGATCCCGTATAACCTATTCAGTTACGTGCATTGCTATTGTATAGGCGGGTGGATTCTATCCAAGGTCATTAAGCTGTAGTTTTAATTTGTTGAGAAAATTGTACAAGTCATGATTCTGTTGCTATTCTTAACATGTTTCCCATGGATTAGAAAAGGTTTGATGTAAAATGGATTATTGGATTTGATATTGGTAGTTGTTTCTATCCAAGGAATAATTCCCTCTTATACTTGTGATTGTATGTATATTGATATAAAATATTACAAGTTTATGATTAACTAAGTCTTAATGAAGAAATGTTTCATACTGCTGCTACAGGTAATACATGTTAATAACAGTTTTGCTTAGAAATTGGATTTGAATTTTATGTATGTTTAGAAACAGTTCGGGTTTAGAAATTTAAGAGCTTTGGGTTTAGAAACTAAAGTAGAAACTAAATTATTGCATTAAGAGTGTACTTAGAACTGCAGAATGCAATAAGTTATTGATTTTGTAAGCGAATGTACTTAGAACTTAAGTCATAAGAGTGCAAAAGCTGAACATATCTCACATAAAAACTGCAGAACAACTATTTAAAAGGGAAATGTAATTTAAAAATTATCATTAATGAGTGTAATATACCACAACAACCAAAAACTATGTAAGCAAATGTACTTAGAACTTAAGTCATAAGAGTGTAATATACCACAACAACCAAAAACTTATTTTCACTAAGCATCTAAACACATAATGAGTTAATAATGTTGGTTGTGTGTTGATTATAATCTTCATTAATTTTCAGCAATGGAGAATGTTACTCAACACCAGCCTTCTACATTAACATCTGGTGTTGTTGCAACTGATGTTGCTGCAACTGAAATTCACGTTGTTGGGCTTCCTCCACTTGGAAAGAAAAGAAAACCAAATGCTAATGGTCCTAGGAAATCGTCTCCTGCATGGGACCACTTTATTAAATTACCTAATGAAACTGAACCAGTAGCTGCTTGTAAACACTGTCATAAAAAGTATTTGTGTGATCCAAAATCCCACGGGACATCTAACATGCTTGCTCACACAAAGATATGCACCAAGAGGCCACAAAATGATCCTACTCAAACTGCCCTTTCCTTTGCTAGTGGAGAGGGTGGTGGATTGGTTGCTGCAAGCCAACGATTTAATCTTGCAGCTTGTAGAAAAGCTATTGCTCTATTCGTGATCCTAGATGAACATTCTTTTAGAGTAGTTGAAGGGGAGGGATTTAAGTTGCTATGCAAACAATTACAACCCCAATTAACTATTCCATCGAGGAGGACTGTGGCGAGGGACTGTTTTCAACTTTTTGTTGATGAAAAAGTAAGATTAAAAGGTTATTTCAAATCTGATTGCAATAGGGTAGCCTTAACCACTGATTGTTGGACATCCATTCAGAATCTTAGCTACATGACCCTAACTGCACACTTTATTAACAATGATTGGAAGTATGAAAATAGAATTCTAAGTTTTTGTTTAGTTCCTAATCATAAGGGTGAGACAATTGGTAGGCAAGTTGAAGAGATATTAAGGGAGTGGGGAATAAGGAATGTGTCCACAATCACAGTGGACAATGCAACATCTAATGATGTAGCTGTTGCTTATTTGAAGAAGAGGATTAATAATATGGGTGGTTTAATGAGTGATGGGTCTTTCTTTCATCTTCGTTGTTGTGCACACATTCTAAATCTGGTGGTTCGTGATGGTTTAAAACAAAATGAATTATCTATTTGTGCCATTAGAAATGTTGTTAGATTTGTGAGATCATCACCCCAAAGATCATCAAAGTTCAAAGAATGTATTGAGTTTGCTAGAATTAATTGTAAGAAACTTTTATGTCTTGATGTTCCAACAAGGTGGAACTCATGTTATTTGATGTTAGATGCTGCTGAAAAGTATCAAGCAGCATTTGAGAAAATGGAAGGTGAAGATTTTAGCTATTTGGAATTTTTTGGGTTAGTTGGTCCCCCTACTCTTAATGATTGGGATAATGTTAGGTGTCTTGTAAGTTTTTTCAAAATTTTCTATGAAGCTACTATGGAATTTTCTTCGTCAAAACAAGTGTCCCTTCATAAGGCATTCCACCAACTAGCTTCAATCCACTGTGAGCTAAAAAGATCATCCATGAACTTGAACACAATTTTAGCCTCAATGGGATATGAAATGAAGCAGAAGTATGACAAATATTGGGGAGAAATTGAAAATATCAACAAGTTTATTTACTTTGGTGTGATTTTTGACCCTCGGTACAAGTTAGGATATGTGGAGTGGTGTTTTAATGATATGTATAATGATGAGTCTGTGCCTTTTACTAATCTGATTGATGTGATAAAAAAAAGAGTTGTTTAAACTATTCAATTGGTACAAGGGTATACATGACCAACAACATGGTACTAGTCCTATTGAGGGTAGTTCATCTGGTGATGGTGTTGTTCCTACTACTGAAATTCCATCTCATAATGCAAGAGTTGAAGCTTTTAAGGAGCACCTAAAACAAAAAGATTCAATAGATAAAAAAAATGATCTTGAGAGGTACCTAGATGACAATTGTGCTGATGATGTTAACTTTGACATCCTTATGTGGTGGAAACAAAACTCTTGTAGATACCCTGTTTTAGCAAAAATGGTGAAAGATGTTTTAGCTAGTCCTGTGTCAACTGTTGCTTCTGAAAGCACGTTTAGTACTGGGGGCAGAGTTCTAGACACATATAGAAGCTCGTTAAACCCTGAAATGGTAGAGGCTTTGATTTGTGCACAAAACTGGTTAAAACCTACACTTAGTCAATTCAAGGATCTGAATATAAATGAAGATTTTGAGGTGTCTTTCACTACTGTATCAGGTATATAAAGTTGTGTATTTAGTCTACTAATATATTAGGTTTGATTTTAATTTAATTGTTTGGTTTTTATTTACTATTTTGTAGAATTTGGTGGTTCATCTGTTAGTGGATCAACATCTGGTTGTGATTCTAATGTTGTTGGAAGAGGAAAAGAACCAGTTGCTGGTTCATCTCAAACACATACTTAATGCTGGCAGTGGTTTGTGCATTAATACTGCTTTACTTATATTTATGTTTATGAAATGTATTAATATATTTTTTGTTTCATTTCAGTTTATTTTTTGGAGTCATTTGTATATATAGATCAGCAATGACTCACTATTTTGGTGCTGCTGTATCGTGCAACTTGTTTTGGTGGTCCTGTTTCGTTCTTGTGGCATCTGCAGCAGCAAAATGTAGTTGTTTTTTGGTGGTCCTGTTTCTTTTTGGTGGCATCTGCTGTTTCGTCCTGTTTATGCTGTTAAGTTTATGCTGTCATTGCTGTTTATTCCTAGGTGAGTGTATTTTGTTGTTTATGTCATTGTTGTTTATGCTGTTAAGTTAATGTTCTTCAGTTTATGCTGTTTATGTCATTGCTGTTATGGCGGACAAGTGATACAAATGATCTATGGTGGACTAAGTGTGAATGTTGGATGTTGAAGCTATTTGATCTATTTATGACATTTTTGCGAATATATGGTTCTATAATATATGGTTAAGCTAATGAATATATGTTCAATAATTTAATATTTTGTTTGAAGTAATATACCTATTCGATACTTGTTGACAGCTCCTGCATTAATTGTAAATTTTAAACATGTGTTCATTGCTTTTTCCAACTTCTTTTTAGTATTGATTTTTAAGTTTTGCTTAAGACCTGTGAATGAATGGTGGCATCTGTGCCTAAGCAACTTGTTTAGTGCTAAAAGTTGTTTGGAGCTAGACTAACCTTTTGTATTCATGAGTGCAGTGATTTTCAATTGTTTTTGGAGCTAGACTCACAGTTTCTGTCAACCATGGTGAGATGGATGAATACAATGCAGCACGAATGATTTTATGTGGGATTCCTCTTGATGAACCATTTCTTCAGCATTATCTATCTAGACTAGTAAAAGCTGAAAAAAACAAGCTCAAAGGAGGGAAATTATATTTAGAAGATTGTTTCTATGTGATGGGAACTGTTGATCCGACAGAAAACCATTGCTTGAAAGAGAATCAAGTTTGTATTATTCAGTAAGCATGAATATCCTATCCAGACTCCTCTCTTCCACCTGTCCCTATTCTGTTATTCTCCTTCTTCTCATTCCATCCATGTGTGCCCTTTCAATCATATTCAACCATGTGTACTAGTTAGTTTTTATTATGAAAATGATGTTTGAAATTCAAACTATCAGGCTTGTGTTGAGAGTTGACAGGTTAAACCTTTTTTCTTGGTAGTGAAAATGGTCAAATTACTGGAGATGTGCTGGTTTATCGAAATCCAGGTTTACATTTTGGGGACATTCACATAATGCAGGCCACACATGTGGAGGGGCTCGAATCTTATGTTGGCCATGGAAAATATGCAATTTTTTTCCCATGTGTTGGACCTCGCTCTGTAGCAGATGAGATAGCTGGAGGTGATTTTGATGGTGACATGTACTGGGTGTCAAAAAATCCTCAGGTTTCAATTTCAGTTTTAAAGCCTTTGTTGTGTTTTTACTTGATCTATTTTTAATATTGAAAGAACTGTGCTTTTTGTGTTATACTATCATATCTTTACAGACTTTATCTGGTTAAAGATTATTTTAGAGCAAGTCACAATGTGGATTGAAATTCAATTGCTTCTCATTATGCAGGTAGTCAGGCATATCTCATTTTATTGTGGTATATATATCTTGAGAAGCAGGTATATATATCTTGAGAAGCAGAAGAGTAGCAGAAGCAGTTACAAATTTTGAGGCTGCTATAAAATGCAATGGAAGCAATTACAAATTTTGAGGCAGGTTAGGGTGCTAATTTGGTTAGATGTTCCTTTACAACCCTTGTTTTAATATTCTAAGACTTTTTGAACTGTGAGTTTGTTTACAAATCTAGCTTGTCCTTAGCATATGAAGCTGATTTAAGTTTCTTCCTGCAAAGATCGTATCAGAATTCTCGCCTTCCCCTCCTCCTTTCCATTTTTTAAACTGTTGGGTGCTAAACATTACAGCAGTTTTCCTTATGCATGTATTAGTCACTTTAAGTTATCCTTAAAGCAATTGATTTGTGTCCAGTTAAAGGAAGATCACAAAATTTTCGATAATTTTTCTCAAGAATATTATGTTCAAGCATAACTCAAACCGGTTCATATATCTTATGTTCTTCTATCTTCCTTTGTTCAGAGAGCGGACAGTTGTTGTCCTTGTATCCATGGGTGCAGATTGTGGTGCATTGACGGATCCATCTCTAGAGTTTCCTTCAGGTAGAACAGCTGCAGATCTCGCCTCTAGCAATGGGCACAAAGGACTCTCTGGTTTTCTAGCAGAGTCTTCATTAACAAGCCACCTTGAAACCCTCACAGTGGATGATCAACAAAAAGGTGGTAAGCAAGAAGTTACAGGAATGAAAACAGTACAGACAGTTTTGAAGCAAACTGCAACACCTGTGGTCTATAATGATATGCCTGATGCCCTATTGAAAGCTTAAAACCTGTTATGTTATTGGATAAGTTAAATGCTAGCTGGTGATAATGTGTTATTTAATTTGGAATGTAATATGTGAATTTAGATGAAAAGATACTGTGATGCACATTATATATATATATATGACAGAATTTCATGTTAGAATTTATTGGTTCAAACCGATTCAACCCAACCGAATAAACCGGTTAAACCGATAATCCGCCAACCGATAAAACCGAACTTAATCTTGGGTGAAATTGGGTTCAACTTTTTCAACCGTGGATTAATTCGGGTTAATTATTTTGAATCCGAACCCACCCATAACCGACCGCCGTCCACCCCTAGTTTGTATGATATAAATAGAGAGTTGAGTGGAGACAAATTTGAGAAATAAACATGTTAAATATTTTAATTTAATTATTATTTAATTAATAAAAATAATATTTAATTATTAATAATAAAAATATTAATTAAATATAAATATAATTTTGTGGAAAAAAATGTATAAATTGATGAGATATAAATTTGATTAGTGAAAAAATAATTTTGTAGAAAAAATGAAATAAAGTAATAAAATTAGTAGGGACTATAAAAAACTTTAAATTTTATGGAAAAAATAGAATAAAGTAATGAAATTAGTGGGGACTATAAAAAACTTTAACCGTTTTATGAATTATATTTATCAATTTATTTTTGTATTAAGTAACTTTAAGTTTTATATATATATATATATATATATATATATATATATATATATATATATATATATATATATATATATATATATATATATATATATATATATATATATATATATATATATATATATATATATATATATATATATATATATATATATATATATATATATATATATATATATATATATATATATATATATATATATATATATATATATATATATATATATATATATATATATATATAGTGTTGAGTGGAGAGAAATTTGAGAAATAAACATGTTAAATATTTTAATTTAATCATTATTTAATTAATAATAATAGTATTTAATTATTAATAATAAAATATTAATTAATAGAATGAAGAGAAAATTTATGTTGGGTAGTTACTATGTTAATATAATATTGGTGGGTGACTGCATTTAAAAAAAATCATGAAGTGTTCTATTATATTTGTTAATTAATAATTATTTAAAATATATAAATGTGACTTAGTCGGAAGTTTTAAATGGAGTTAATAATAAATATATTTATATTTAATTAATTAATTAAAGGAGCAAGTTTTATAGGGAACTTTTTTATGGAGACATTATAAGATTATATAATAGTATAAATAGATAATACTTGTCATATTTGCTGAGAATATTAATAATGTAGCTTTTAAGATAGATTTATTTATTAAATTTCGGATCAAATAATGAAATCAGGAAAATTTTACACTTATCTATACGAGGATATTTTGGTAAAAAAAAATATAACGTAGGGATAGGAGAATAAATGATGAAATATAGGGTAAAATTTTCAAAACCAAACTGATGTTTTCAAAACCAAACAGAACAGACAGTTCAATTCAATAGTAAACAAACCACTCTATTAATTGGGCTGTTCAATTACAATTTTTAAAGAATCTACTTGGCACCCCGTAAGTCATACCAGCACCCCCGCATAATCTTTCTTTTGATCATAACATTCTCAATGTTAAAAATTAATTTTTCACATTTAAAATTTTATTTGTCAGATTTAAAAAATAAAAAAAAAATTTATCAAAGATTTGCTGAAAATACCGAATATTTACAAATAAGTGTTGTTTTCATTAAATTTATACATTTTTATCAAAAATTTGATAAAATACTATATATTTTGAGAAACACACGTGTATTTTTACCGGTGTTTTAAAATTGTTGGTACCAACTTATTGACACTTTAAAAATATTCCGTGTAATCTCATGTTTTGATTGCGTTTTTATTGATTTTTTCTAAAAATTCAATATGAACATGATGTGTTTTTACCAACAATTTTAAAATAGTTGGTAAATGCATATCTTCCTAACGGATATTTAAAAATTGATGGTAAGAAACACATACATTAATATCAAATATTTTTAAGAATTCGTCAGGTCAACAAATTTTTAATTTTTGTAAAAAAAAAATTGTGTAGCAAGGAGAAAAGAAAGAGATTGCAAGATCATTTCTAGATTGAGCGAGAGAACGGTTACCAAGAGCTTTGGTGGAGGCGGTGGAGATGATAGAGACATTTATCTAGATACTAGAACGGATAAGTAGTTCCACATTGGTTCTCACCGTAAAAGGATTAAGTTGTCTCGCGAACTGGGTACTCTCAAGCGTAGAGGAGTTAAAGGTGGATGGGCCAAAGATCATGATGTTGATCCAGATATTACCGTTACAGATGATGTTGAGACATAGGTGACAGTTCAGGATGATGCGAAGGTTCCTGTTCAAACTAATACAGAAGTTTTTGTCTTTGCTGCTACGGATGTGTCAGCTCAAGCTGATACAGAGGCGTCTATTCAGGCTACATAGATGGAGGTTTCTTAGACGGTCTTCTGACCCTACCTTGTTACTTGGGTATGTCGATCATGTGGCATTTAGATTATGGAAGGGAGAGGTATAAACTTTTTAATTTAAGTTGTTTTTGTTTATTACTAGTTAATTGAATGTAACCAATAATTTTTGTTATATTTGTTACAGGACCACGATCCAATGAAGGTTTGAAGTTGAAGAAATTTTTGGGAGTGTAGATGTTTGATCAGGTCAGGGAAATTGTTGTTGATGATGGTCTGCTGCTATTGGTGGATTGTTCGTTGGCCATGTTTGACGCTCCCTTGTTGTCTACTTTTGTTGAGCGATGGCATAAAGAGGCATCTTCCTTTCATCTTCTATTTAGTGAGATGACGATTATCTTGGATGATGTCTCCAATGGTCCAGCCTATTCCATCTCCCCCTTGCTGGTAACTTCTTCATGTTTACATTCATGTTTATAGACTTTTAGTCTCTCCATTGGGCATGGGGTTGTGTTGATTTGACGATAATATATATTACCCTTAGAGAGATTATTATCTTTGAGATGAGACAACTTACTTGTTATATGAGTCTATTTCATTATGAATATTTACTATGTTTTATTTATTTTCTTATTATTTATTAAAGACATTTTGTGTATCTAATTTGTTTTATTATGCTTCATTTTACTACCGAGCATTTTCTGTCTATTTTAATGTGTGTGATTGTGATCTTATCACAAATGGCTCCCCACAGGCCACCAAATGAAGCTAAGGCGTTCTCATTTAGACAGACAAACGATTGAAGCTCTGATTATGGATGATGTCATATGAACACCTTATGCAAACCATATAGTGCATCGAGAGTTCAATGACACTGTCCGTTTTGCGGGATATTTGTGATTAGAGTTTTATAGCTACATATTTAACTGAGAGGTGTATGTGGCCATTTGGATATGTTTAAGGCATTCCTAGACAAGTTTTTGTTGCGCCATCTGGGAACATTGATAGATGGTTTAGGTCTAACATTGTAAGTAATGCTACTGATATTAGAGAAAATGCAATGAAAAGTGTCTTTTTCTAAACATTGTATGGATAATTATTTAGACGGGTACTTTAGAGTATCACACCCTTACATCATTCAACTTATTCATCTCACAAATAATGATGGACCTTCACATGATGGAAGACATTAATATGATGTGTCACCATCTCCACTTAGTATGACTGATCAGCCACTACTGCAGATGATAGCTAGCACTTCTTTCTAATAATCTCATGAGTTTAGTTAAACCAAATGGTGTGGTCATCGGATTATTGTAGATATCCCGCATTGCTCACATTGCTCGTGGTGAAACAAGGTGCTCGTGGTGAAACAGGGTAGATTTTATTTGATTGCTCATTATTTATTGTCCCTGCATTATTTTTCATTTGTACTAAATTATTTGTATTTTGACACTTTATCTTAACATAGAATTACATGAAAATTATCATTACATAACTTAATATGAATCTAACTTAACAAAACATAACTTAATATGAATCTAACTTAACAAAACATTACATAACATATAATAATCTTACATAACTTAATATGAACCTAATTTAACAAAACATTACATAACATATAATAACCTTGCAATTGTCACGTTCACCTCAATGAATCATATAATACTCTTGCAATTGTCGCATTCACCTCAATTGAACCATTTATACCTCAATGAATCATATAATACTCTTGCAATTGTCACATTCACCTCAATAAATCATATAATAATCTTGCAATTGTCGCATTCACCTCAATTCAATTGAACTATTTATACCTCAATGAATTATATAATAATCTTGCAATTGCCTCAGTGAATCACAATAATCTTACAATTGTCGCATTCACCTCAATTGAACCATTTATACCTCAATGAATCATATAATAACCTTGCAATTGTCACATTTACCTCCAAATTTTGTCTTGGTGAAATATAATTCGGATAACACTTAGATCTTCATTTAACTCAGTACATAAATACAAGATACCAATTGAGACATTGCAAATTTTTCGTTATCAACATATGATCTTAGAACCTTACAAAAATATCTGACCCAATCACATCGACACGAACCTTGCAAAAGCTTTCAAAAATTAACGAAAGATAGAAAATGAAAATGATACTTTTGACATTATCAAAATATATAGAGAAAATATATTGAGGTGTCACGTGCAACTTGAAGTGACACGAAAATTTCTCCAGTTTTAAAACATTACTCTAAACATGTAGAAGTTATTATTGGAAGAAAGATAAGACTTATAAATTTTTATGAAACAAAAAATGACTTGAATCCAAATTTATCACTTCCCTTATCCCTCATCAACCAGAGCAAATCTTAATCTATGTTTACAAATACAGCTTGTTTTTCCTTTTAATAGAACAGGCATCCGAAACAAAAGCTCTCCCACTTTTCTGCTCAAAACTGTTTTTACCGTAATCAACCTACAACAATACTTAACCTAAGACTTAAATAGTAAGGCCTTGTGGGGCACCAGCCACGGGTGCTTTGGGCTTGGGCTTTTCGACAACAATGGCCTGTGTGGTTAAGACCATCCCCGCTACTGAAGCAGCATTCTGCAAAGCACACCTTGTTACCTTGGCAGGGTCAATGACTCCAGACTCCACTAAATTCTCGTAAGTGTCTGTCATGGCATTGTAACCAACCTCCCATTCACCATTCTTAATTTTCTCCACAACTACTTCACCCTCTATTCCAGCATTTTGAGCAATCAATGATGCAGGTGCTACCAATGCCTACATAGACAAAAGAAAAAACATCAGTAGTTTCCTCAGTCATATCACATCAAATATCATTCGAGAACATTTAGTACAAATTAGACACTAGTTGACAATATTTTGTAACAAATGGCACATCGCAGAACATAATGATATGTTCAAAATATGTTATAGCGCACCCATATAAGCCTATTGAGGACTGTTTTAAGGTATATATCAGATGCAGGATCCCATGAAAATGTTGATGTTGTTTGCGTCTAAGTGAAAATCTGTGTGTTGTAATTGTGGAACATGTTGAAAAATATGTACAAATTGATCATTCTCACCTTTTGAACAATGTCAGCTCCTAGCCTCTCATCTGCGTCTTCAAGCTTCTCCTTAATTGCTGGGACATAACCAGATAGATGAACCAATGCAGTGCCTCCACCAGGAACAATACCTTCCTCAATGGCGGCAAAAGTTGCATTCTTGGCATCCTCAATACGGAGCTTACGATCCTCCAGTTCCGTCTCAGTGGCAGCACCGACCTTGATAACTGCAACTCCACCAGACAACTTAGCAATCCTCTCAGCGAGTTTCTCAGAATCATAAATTGAGTCTGTCTCAGACAACTCTTTCTTCAATTGTGCAACCCTGGACTGCAACTCATCCTTTGATGCAGCATCGGCAATAATAGTGGTAGAATCCTTGGAGATGGTCACTTTCCGGGCCAAACCAAGTTGTTCAATTGTGGTGTTTTCAACAAGAAGGCCCAGATCACTGGCTTGGAACTCAGCACCTAGCAGTTAGAGGCACAAAATAGTCAAAGAAAATGAATCATGAGGGAGAAATAATCTATACAACGATACTTCCACAACATGCATTCCCTGCTTAGTAGTTCTTTGTGCATCATGATAACAAACATTACTTGAACACATGGAACAAATATCAAGAGTAAGTAGAACTAAATTAAACTAAATTTTGAATACAATTAAAACCTTCATTTGACATGACTAAGACTACCTAGATTTTCAGGAATATGGATATTATGATAAATATTAAATCTATTGCAGCATCCAATAAAAAAAATTAAAAAAAACATAGGAATCTCATATACCTGTCAATATAGCAATGTCTTGAAGAAGGGCCTTTCTTCTTTCACCAAATCCTGGAGCTTTGATGGCAGCAACATTAAGGATACCACGCAGCTTATTGACAACAAGGGTCGCCAAAGCCTCACCAGTGATATCTTCCGAAATGATAAGCAAGGGGGCTCTCAATTGAGTGGTTTTCTCCAGCAGAGGGATTATATCTTTGATTGCTGAAATCTTCTGATCAGTAATCAAGACTCTTGCGTTCTCAAATTCAACAATTGATTTCTCTGGATTGGTAACAAACTGAGGGGAGATATATCCTCTGTCAATCTGCAGGTCACATAGCAAACAGTAAATTACACTAGCTATATAGTTAGAAACATAACTTGATAGCTTAAATTTTTTCTGCTCATTACAATCTACAACCATTCCTTTGGGAAAAAAGGGAGAAATTATTAGACCCAAAAGAGAACGCATACCTCCATTCCTTCTTCAACTTCAACTGTTGTCTCAAACGATGACGAAGACTCGATGGATAAAACACCATCAGGTCCAACCTTGTCAATCGCTTCAGCAATCATTTTTCCAATCAACTCATCATTTCCAGCAGAAATAGTAGCAACAGCTGTTACACCATTAAAACTCTATTAGAATAAGATACTAACATACAATGAATGTAAAAAAAGATAAAAAGAAACAGAAACAAATGTTTCTTCAATAATACCAATACCTTTTATATCATCTCCACCTTTAACAGGCCTAGCCAACTTCTCAAGCTCTTCCACCAAAGCCGCCACAGTTTTATCAATTCCTTTCTTGATCGATACGGGATTAGCACCAGATGTTACATTGAGAAGTCCAAGCTTAATAATTTCCCTAGCCAGAATCGAAGCCGTTGTAGTTCCATCACCAGCAGAGTCATTAGTTTTACTTGCAACCTTTAGTTTCAAATCAACACATCATCATCACTAACCAAACACATATAACACATACATCTTCATAACCAACACTAAAACAATCTACACCCTTATTAATCAAGTATCAAAATTCACATACCTCCCTAATAAGGGCTGCACCAGCATTTTCCATAGGATCAGGAAGCTCAATAGCTCTTGCAATTGTCACACCATCATTAACTACCTTAGGACTTCCAAACTCATCCAATACAACATTTCTCCCTTCAAAAAAACACAGCATTTCAAATTTCTCATTACTCCATACAAAAGAGTTACAACAAATCTCAGCATAATAAAATCTATGGATATATTTATAAACATTTCCCTCCTCATATTCAGTGTTGTTAAATTCATATTGCAAAAAATAGCAGTTTGTTCAAATTCTGTTACACTACAAAATTATGGCGCTGATAGGGTTACCTCTGGGTCCAAGAGTGAGACCAACAGCATCGGCAAGTTTATCAATTCCGGCTTGCATAGCGGAGCGTGAATGTTGGTCAAAGGCAATATCTTTAGCAGCGGCTTTAACCACAAAACGGTTAGGTTTCTGCCTGAAATTGACCCTTCCATGTTGTTTAACCTTCCTGTTGAGACTGGACTGTGCCTGAAATGAGTAATTGAAACGAATTAGAATCGATTTTGTTGGTAATTGTTTAGGGAGAAATGGAAATGGAGGAGAAATGGTACCTGGTTGGTTGGTGAACGAAGAATTGAGGTAGAAGATAGAGCGTTGGTTGAAGCCATGATTGTAAGAGTTTTGGAAGAGTGTGGATAAGATGGTTTAGGAGATAGAATGAACGAACTCAACGAAGAGAAAGGTTTAGGGTTTGGGATTTTATAGTAGGTAGTAAGGTTCTAGAAAACTCTTATTGGTCACGAATTGTTGAGAACCTCTCCTTAGTTTTGTCACTTATAGAATACTAGCGTTCAAATGGACACTTGCATGGTCGGCGCTTTTTTAATGTACACGTGTAAAAATTTAAATGATATTTTTTATTTAATATTAATTTTAAATAGAAGTGAAGTAGGAAATTAATATTAGAAAGTTATGTAAGAAGTTAGGTAGAAAGTGAATGTAAGTTATTGATACATTAAAGTAAGGGTAAAACTAGAAAAGAAATAGGTTATATCAAAATACCATGTTTTGTCTTTATATATAGTTACGTGTCCGTCTGTCTGCTTTTTAATGCACACATAAAAATTTAAACGATATTTTTATTAATAGTAGGAAATTAGGTATTAAGTTAATAGTAGGAAGTTATGTGAAAAATAATAGTAGTGATTTCAATATAAGTTATTGTGTAAGTTACACATTAAGGTAAGGGTAAAATTGGTAGAAAAATAGACTACACTAAAACACTGTGTTTTGTCTTTATATATATTATAGATTATAGATTATAGATTAATACTTAGGCTATCTTTGAATATCATACTTCAGAATGAAGAATATGGATTAGCATAATGAAACTGAGCGGAATAGAGATTTTATTTTATCGTTTGAAAATTTTAAGATGGATGTTGTTCTTTTTGGATTTGATGTATTTTGCAAAACAATAACATAAAGAAATGTTCAAGTTTGTTCAATTGCGTTAAGATAATTTTTTAGTGCAGAAGGAACACATGTTGGACATGATGTCACAACACGTGAATGCGACATCATGGTTTGGCTACAGGCTAGATCATTGCGTTTTGGAGCAAAATTTATGTTGAAAATTTAGTTAGATTTTATTGTTTTTATTTAGCAATATGATTATATGATTTGTTGAACAACTGTGAAGATCAAATTTAAATGTGATTTAAATTTGAATTTGGATTAAACCAAATCATATTTTTTTGTTGAAGATATTTATAGAGCCAATCTTATCCAACATATTGTGTAAAGATTCTTGACGAAATTAAATCAAAGATCCAGGGAGAAAAATCCATAGTAATTTTGATATATAAGGAGCGCAAAACCTACATTGGAAAGCATGCAATATGTAATACCCAAAGATAATTAGAATATTAATTTAATTTAATTATAAATATTCGTGATTTTCGGTGAATTTTTGTGAAATATTTTGATGTCTGATGATTTGTGTTGTGGGGTATTGATGATGTTAAGAGGGTATTGAGGATATTCAGAAGTGTATAATTTATATTATTATTATTTTAAATAATAGGAAGGGAACAGTGAGGGTAAGATAGTAATGTTAGGTGGAATAAGTGAGGACGAAATTGAAAAATCATAATAGGGGTTCAAGGGGTAAGAATGACAAAAGGAAAAAAGAGAGAGTGGAGAAGTTTATTATTACGATCGTGTTTTTGGGAGAGCGCTCTGAAGAAAGAAAGAGGAAGAGGTTAGGGCTCTGAGAGAACTTTGAAGAATTCAAGGAGAAAGTCGAAATCGAATTATCTTAGGTATGGAAAGTATCATTTGTCATTATAATTGATATAAGGGTAGACGTATATAGGTAGTTGGGGATTTTGGGGAACATGATGAGATTATGATGAAATTGTTATTTGATTGTGTGATAAATGATGTTTTCTAACTGATATATGATGAGTTCTATACATGTATGTGTGTAGAAATTCTATTTTAGAAACTATTAAAAATTTCTCCATTGTTGAGTTTTGGAGTTTCGAGTTGGAGGAATGAAATTATGATGAATTATTGTTAATCCATGAGTAAAACATAGCATAGTCGAGGTTTAGGATGTTATTTTGGTATAAAATCGGGTCTATGGTGATAGGGGTTAGTGGTATAGGCTTTGGTGTGAAATTCTGGGGTGAAAGTGCTTTTACAAAAGTGACATTTGGGGTTCCGAACAGTATGCGTCGACTCATAGGTACCTCTAGGTCGACTCATGGCCTCCCGAATGCAAAATTATGAAAATTTTAACAGTATGCATCAACTCATAGCTCTGTGCGTCGACCTTTGAGTCGACTCATAGGTAGAAAAACGCCAGAAACAGTTTCGATCATAAATTTTAACAGTTAATCCAAATGAAGAACCTTCAAAGCGTTGGAAAGTTAATAAGTAAAACATTAACACGATGTAATTATATTAATCATTTTCCTAATATATTTATGTCTAATATCTTGAAAAATGTGATTGTTGCTTGTTGTATACGTTAAGAAGTCGTGGCGTAAGTGACGAACCTTGAGTGTTGTTTGTATGCCTTAGGTAATTGATGTGCTATATTTTGATGACTATAACATGATGATTTTGTGGAGTAATGTGAAGAGTTGTGATGCATAATGATAATGTAATACTATGATGTTTTGATGATTTTTCATGAATGATGATGCAACTTTGACGATTATGTGATGATGATTATTATGACGTTTTGCATCATGCATTCATAACATACTTCAGAACTTCGGTCCAGTGATGATGTTAGGACTTCGGTTCAGTGATGATGTTAGGACCTCGGTCCAGTGATGATGTTAGGACTTCAGTCTAGTGATGATGTTATGACTTCAGTCCAATGGTGGCTTCAATCCCAATATGTGGATTTGAGTGTTTATGACGTGCTCCGATTCTTGTGTAGAATCGATCCTATTGGTGGGGATCTTTGGAGGGTGATGATCTAGTGTCCATCAACATGATGAGTTTGGTACCACATGCATGAGTCTATGTTGTTGCATTTCATACTATGTGGTATTGCATAATTGAGTGTTAAAATGATGTTTGATGATGTTGTGTGTCATACCCCAAATTTTACCCTTAGATTAGTCGGTTCATTTTGCATTTCATTTCATTCTACATTACGTTTTAACTAACTACTAACCGGTTTGTTCAGTTTGTTGCTGTTGCAGGAAAATAACGTTGGGTGCGCTTTAATTTATGAAGGGCGGAAGGGTCGTTATCATAAGTCATATGGAGTTGAGGGTGCTGAAATGTAATTGAATTCGGGTTAAATCGGTGCGAGGGTTTGCTTTGAAGAATTTATTTTAACAGACGCACGTTTTCCTGCTTTCTGCTACCTACCGGTCGATTTTGAAGAAAACAGTGGAATTCTGGTTTGTGTTGACTTTATAATAAACATTTGTTGGTTTGATCATGATTATCACTCGAGCTGATTCAGGTTACCGAGTTGAAACATTCGAGATGCGATTTGCATTTTCAATATGGAAGACAGTTCATTTCGCCGTTTAATTGGTTTTCTCTGCTTACCCGTTCAAGGCCATATTCACTGATATGATTATCGCGTACGAGTTAATTTGCAAAAGGATTTGTTCGAACTCAGCAGTTATGTCAGATTTAGATCGTGCAAGATGATTAATTTTGAATTCAGAGTTGGAACGTCACAACTTAATCGGATAATTTTCATTGGATAAATTTAATTAAGTGAATTTATTTGGTTGAGTTTAATCGGATGAATTATCAGGAGAAATTTGATCGGAGAAATAATTTTATTTTAAAATAAAGAATTGAATTTATTTATTTGAATTCTATTTTTTATTACAAGGATGAGAACAATTACAAAATTAAATCCTAAGTGTCCTAAAATTCCTATTTTCTTTTCTAAGTTGTCTCCGTGTCCATCTTCAATCCTCGAATTTTTCGGACCTGCAAGAATCGACAACAGAGAAAATAATTTAAATGGTTAGAATTAATAAAAATGGTTTTTGATCGGTTCCCCTCAGTTAATTATCATCATCAGGTACGTCCGGAGGGTAACGGAATATTCCGCCGCCAGCTCCCAACTTTTATTTCCGGCCTCGGCACAAATCCGACAACATCTGTTTATTACGGTCCAAGAGAGAGAAAAAGTGATTTTGAAAAAGTGATTTTGGAAAAAGCACTTATTTTGGAAAAATGATTTTTGCCAAACAAGTCATAGACAACTTTCCCAAAAAAAATCTGAGCCACAATGGATCAAACCACAACCACAATAAGCAACAACAATTCCTGAAAAATCTCCAAAACCATGAATTTCGCAATAGCCAACAACCAGCCATGAAAAGTTCAGCGAACCCCAACAATCAGCAAGCAAAACGCAACAACCCAACACCAAAAATTCCTGAAAAACAACCATAAAATCATGAAGACCAAATCACCGTAAAATATCGCAACAAATCAACGGATCCAGGCCCATAAAAATAAAATAATATAAGAACAGGTGGAATCAAGAACAAGGGAGGAAGGAAAAAACCAGCAAATCAATAAACAGCGGCTAAAACCCAAAAGGGTTCAACACCCGTTATCAAGATCTCATCAATTCATCACAAGAGATCAGAAGAAAAACAAGGAGGACAAATCATCCTCGCGCGCCTTCACCATCAATGGACAGGTTGAAACCCACATCGGAGTCAGAAGCATCATTGTCCGCGAACCATCAAACCGACAGCGGACGAAAATCTACCATCAACAAACCTCTACAAAACCTCCGTAAGATTTTTGGTCATTATAATATTTTTTTTCATGGTTTTGTTGCAGGGAAAGAAGAAGGAAAACCATTAAAACCGAAAAAGGCAACATGCAAGCAAGAAGAAAGCTTCGCAAATGCAATAATGGAGGCAATAGTCGCCGCCGGCGAGAAAGAAGAAGAGCTTCCAAAACCTAGATGTTCAGCATGTTTAATCGTTCCCCTCCCCCTTTTATTTATTTTCTTTCTTTTATTCTTTTATTCTTTTATTTTATTATTTTTTAATTTTGTCTTATTAAATTGAATAATTACTAACATTCTATTAGATTAATGTAAATCTTTTGTTAATTAAAAACCATTTTAAATAAAAAAACCTTTTTTAAAACTTAA